CGTGCAGGGTAATCAGAGAGACTCCAGGAATATTTGAGCGAATACGTGGCTCAATGCGCCGACGTCTAGACGCATGCGTAATGTCTGAAAGTAGACATATTGAACATTTACTATGATTTCTACATGTTGTGTGTTTTTTTATTAATAAATTAGTTTTGTTTATTACCCTTCAAGCGTTTAATGCAGGTACTAAAATAACAATAAATCCAGTTCGCATTCATCACGATGTATCTCTGTAGTTGTTCGTAAAATGATTTTTTGCTGCGAACTGGTTTATTTTGGGCAAAACACCCTTGAGACATTTTTTGTTTAAAATGAAACAGGCTATGGGAAATGAATGTTTGAATGGTGAACAAATAATAGGACAAAAAGTTAAATTGGAAATGAATTTTAGGTGTTGCGTTTTCCACCCGTTACAACCATGGGGTAAACCAAATAAATTTCTGGCTAAGTGTCTTTCTGGTAGTACAAAACGTCAGGTTGATTTCAATATTGTAACTTTTTTAGTGCTTGTGAAAAAAATTGTTATACAAATTTTATGTTCCCCCTTTAAAGGGCTGTATCTTAACAAGGGATGCTCCAATGAAATTTCTTTATATGAAAGATCCCATCTCTTTTTCGATGAGGAATCACCTCCTCAAATGTTTTACACTTATTTAGTTACACCCTGTATAATTTCATATATCATCAGATGTTTTTGCTTCGCACGCGAAATACTGACCTTCGGATACCTTATTGCCATTTTCATAACGCATCTAATTTAAAAATGAATTGCAGCCCAATAAACCCACTGATATTGGAGAGCATTTTCGAAATTTTCAGTACCTAGTTTCTCTATCACAAACAAACATTCGAAAAGTCAAATTTTTTCTGTTCTATAAGTTCAGATCTTTGTATCTCAGCTGAAGGAAAAAAATCATATTCTCATTCGTCAAAGTAGGTACGATTTTTCGTACCTTGGTTGAACTCGGACTAATGAATATAGCTCTTGGAGAATCACACTTTCTCAAAATAATCATTGAACATTGAACATTCCTTCAACTCAAACTTTGTCATTTTTGACTAATACCAATCGACCAACTAGTAACAGACTCACAATTTCATTATACTGTTGGCTCTCATGGTATTGTTAAATAATAAAGGTACTGTTGAAAAACGGAAATTAATCGATAACATTTTTGGGTCTTGTGTTATTACTATCGATAGTGTTGTGGGGGAATTCTTGTCATTCCAAAAAAATTTTTATATTGCAAAAAAGAGTCATACGTCTGATATCTAATGCTAACTTTAAAGATCATTGTCGCCCACTTTTTATTCATCTCAAAATAATGCCGCTTCCTACAGCTTTTGTATATGAAACATTGATTGAAATTCATAAAAATAAATCAAAATACATTTTACAATCGCAACAACATGAATATCCTACAAGATCAGGAAATCTGATAAGAACTGAGAGATTCAGACTGAGCACCTCACAAAATAATTCATTGAATTTGAAATTCTATAATAAGTTACCATGTCACATAAAACAACTCAGTTTCTACTGTTTCAAGCAAAAACTCAAATCATTTTTTTTGAATCACTGTTTTTATTCTACAGATGAATACATGCTATACAACATAGATAATTCATGGGACTTTGAGTGAGTAACAATTGTTCTCATTTTTAACATTAGTTGATTGATTGTTTTCATTATTATGTACACTGTTCTGTTATACAAGCATTGTGATGGTTTCATTTGTATATATGACGTCATATTTAGAAATTTTTGTGTTTTGACTTGCTACAAATATTTCTTCAAATGTATCACGTAGCCAATAAACTATTCCATTCTATTCTATTCTATTCTAGTCCTTTGTTGATTGATAGCTCAACGTTATATAGCTGAAAACTTTGGTGCAATAAGCTGGATGATGTAAATCATTTTTCTCTTACTCAATATAGCAGATAGCGTTGATCTGCCATGAATCTCTCCGGGTTATAGTCATACTATTGGATGTTACTACACCTGTTTGGGTCTTAGAGAGAGGAGTCGTCGTCATCACAAGTTACTCAGTTTTGTCAAATCATCAGAAGTATTTCATGACCACGCGCAGTAATACTGATGAGATGTACGGCAGAATGAAGAAGAATTGTAAATATTAAATCATGGATGATATGGTTTTGGACTCTGATATCATCTTGTTGTCCTCTGGCAATGAGAGATGTAAAAAAAGAGTCAGAAAATCATTGCGCTTTCGGATATCGATGTCAAATTCCACTATGCAACGGAAAGCGATTGGTGTATCTTTGATACTCGTGATGATTCGAGTTTTTCCTCGATCCAACAAATGCCATCTTCACCAGAATAGTCGTCATCAACAAACATATCCACTTATATGAATGTCGTTATCATTTCAATCGACATTTTTTTATTCACACCTTGGTAGCCTGGTGCATTGACGTGGATGGCCATCTCCACTCAGTCAATCGACCGATGTTCGAACTGGTGGTTCGAACCGCAAGACCGGTCGATCGGTTTTTCACTTCGTATCGTTCAACCCGCATTAGGAATTATACGTCAAAAAGTAAGATCTCGTTAGTCCTCAGCTCGCACAAGTTTCAACTTTGAGAGGTGTTGTTTTTAGGCGGCAATAGCTGGTTAACCGGAAAACAGATTTTTTCAACATTTTTTTTATGCTGACGAATTGATTTCTTTTTATTGTTTCAGGAATGATGGATATAGCTCTCATAACTGCTAACGCAAATCAGTTACGATACATGGTGGAGTACAATAAAAATAGTCCAACCTACTACATAAACCTAATTCTCATATCTTTTTCGCTTATCCTGCAAGTTGGTATCGGAGTAGCTTTGATCATGAAAGGAAGATTGGATATGAAGGGGAGATCGAAAGATTTCAAAGCGAAAAGAATTAACAATTACGTCATCATAGGGGTGTTTATGGTAACCATTATCAACGTGTTCATTGCCAGTTTTACTGTGACAGTATCAGCTTCTAAGGATTCTTCTAGTGTTCAGTCAACGCTTTCAAACTAAATGAGTTTTCAGTTATATGGAGGTACTTCAGTCATCTGATGAAAAATTGTACATAATAAATTGATCAAACCGAGATATGCAAATTATAAAATTCTGCTTCATGATCAATAATGTGATATTCAGTTGTTCTTCGAATGCTTTAACCAGTGTTTACAAGTCCCGTCTATCGAAATATAATCGTACATTGTAATTTGTGATCTTTTGTTCACCTAATAATCAGATATGAAAGCAACAAGAGATCGGAAACATCCATAATAAACGATAAGAGATAGAGTGTCGGTTAAATCATGGCAAAGTTGCGTATTTTAGAGACCTATTCAATGATGTGAAAAAATTGAATATACCTCTTTTGTTTCTGGAGATATACAGGAAAAACAAAAAAATCCGAAATTATTTTTTTGTCTATATCTTCTATATTCACAGATATATTGAAAATCTGTCCGCATTTTGCTATTGGCACTTGATGTGGGCTATCAGAATATGTCCATACATTCTTCATACAGGGTGTCATCTGACTTGAGCTAAAGCCATCTTTGAATTTTTAAATAAAGACCTGCATTTGTTTTGTATTTTTTGTATAGCCGACGTTCACTTCATACTGAGAAATTGAATTAAATTTCATATTTCGGGATATTTCGGTAGTATTTGATTATAATTGTGAATTATAAAGATGAAAAAAAAAACTCTATGGTACATAGGGAGACGTGAAAGTTGCTATTATGTTTTTATTCAAATCAGTTGACCAATTTCCAGGGCCGTAATTAAAAAGGGAATAATTCACCCAAATATAATCAAATATTACCGAGACATCCCGAAATATGAAACAAAATTTAATATCTCAGTATGAAGTGAACGTGTACGATTCAAAAACTACAACCAAAAATACAGGTCCGTATTTAAAATTTCAAGTGGCCCTAGTCAGATGACACCCTATATAAAAGATTCATGGATTTATTCTGATAGCCCACATCAAGTGCCAATAGCAGAATGCGGACAGATTTTCAATATATCTGTGAATAAAGAAGATATAGCCAAAAAATAATTTCGCATTATTGGTTCTTCCTGTATATCTTCAGAACCAAAAGAGGTATATTCGATTTTTTTACATAATTGAATAGGTCTCTAAAATACCCAACTTTGCCACAGTTTAACCGACACTCTCTTATCGTTTACGAGATACCCATGTACAGAAACGAATTTGAATAGCCCTGTATATTTGAAAGTATTGATTTTTCATGAACTATTATATTCATCACTACATTCTTCACTGCATGTGGAACATTTGAAAACATACGTGAAAATGTGAATATTCGAGAAACGTTTCCTTCAAGTTTATTGATTCATCGCTAAGCAAACAATTGCATAATTGGAAGAAACATATATCTGACAAAATGATTAAAAGACTTTCGCAGCCGAGGTGTTCTGTTTAACTTTTTTGTCGGGTTTGAAGGTCGTTGTTTTTGGAACTTCTTCCTGATGTTTTGCTGGCGAGAGTGGCTAGCTACTTATTGACATCCAACCTAACCTAACCTAACTCAACCTCATCCAGTTGCAGGTATTAGTACACTAAACTACCTGAGTGAACATAAATATGCTTTACGCAGCCGTTATATGCAGTTATCGAAAATAACTCAGGATGTTTAAACCTCTGAAGAAGCTATCCAATCGCCCTAGCGAAACGTCAGGAAAAAGAACCAACACTGAAAACATATATCTATACTTATATACAAAGATAATGTGCGAGTTATGCACCTACATTTCATTGATGAATTTTACATTGAATGTATGAATTTTCATTTACATTGAATACCCAATACGATGGAAACAATTCATAAAGAATCCAACTACCGAGATATCCTATTCATAAGGAATCCAACTACCGAGATATCCTTGCTCCAGTGTTCCGAGAAGGTTCATGAAGTAAATGAAGACCCTTAATAATTCATCTTGTCTGAATGCGCCTGTATCTCTCATAGACATAAGTGGTACTCTGGGACTTGAATTACAGAATCTGTAATTTTATTTCAACCTTCTTAATAACTCACAAATATTTTCTTCTCAACTATTTTCAACTTATTCGTGAACTAACGTCCTCTAACTTGATTTAGAATTTCATAGAACTTCACATACACGTTCCAGATTCTATCTTTCAATGCTATTTTTGTAGATTATTTGACTCTAGCTCATTTATTTAACAACTCAAAGAATACTTTTGTTTTCACTAGTCACACGGTAGTCCAGTCATGAAGCCACCTCAACGCTGTAGCTATGAGTATTCACTGTGTATCCTCCAACTCGTTATGGAAATCGCACATTAGAATGTGAGACCTTGTTGACCTCCAGCTTGTATACATTTTGACTTTTGAGGATTGTTGTTCACATGGAAAGATAGCCGGGAATAACCAAGGAAACATTTTTTATATATTTTTTACAATATATCCTAACGATCAGTGAAGATAAACGAAAATAACTTCATAAATATCCATCAATTCATGATCATAATGATTTCGAAAACTCTGTTGTATTATAATTACTCAAAAATGAAGCCACGTTTTCCGTTGGTTGTCCAAAATATGTTAAACCTCTATAATTTTTATTATCTAACTTATCAATAGGAAAAACGTCTCGAATCGCTTTTGCGTAGAGTTTTTTCGACAGTGTTTTGGTTATTAATTCGGCTTCAAACCCATTGTTTACTGCAATTTGCTTGATGATATTGAAAGAGGAACATTGACTGATCTATGAATCATGCCGTTATAAGCTGCTACTTTGTGTTGATATGGATGGGTAGAATCGTAATGTATAGTAATATCCGTATAGGACGGTTTGTGATAAATTGAAAAATCATGTTTGTTGTTCATTCTACTAATTGTTAAGTCCAAGAAATTGATTCTGTTGTCTGCTTCTACTTCAATAGTTTAGAAGATATAAACAATTTCGATTATTTCACCAAACATGTACTTCTATAAATGCTGATAATTTCGAAGTGTCTGTTACAAAGACGATCAAATTCAAAATGAAGTGGAGTAATATCATCAATCATATTATTATTTGCTCCATATGCAGATACTGTGATCACATGAAAAAATGAGTGGAAGTCAATTTTAGATTGACTTTATTCACATTTCGAACCGTTTACGAGATAAACTGTTTCAAACAGAAACTGACGTGGTTTCCTTATATTCATCACTTATTTTTTAAATTCAACAGATTCTTTTCGATATTTTTCCATCAGTCACATGTGATGCAATAGATAAATGATTATTAAAATACTCTCCAATCATCAAATAAAACTTCTCTTCAAACAATAGTTTTATGAACGCTCCCACACGAACTGTAAATAATTTCATGAATTAGTAAGTTAATTCAATTGTCAGTATATTTAAGAATATGTTCGAACACATCTCCACCTCTTTCTAAACAAACATGGAATCTCTTCAAAAGATTTTCATGTGTAGCTGATTGAGTCTGGAATTAAACTATTGAAAGCAGTTCTAACTATCAATTTCATATCCTTCATTGTTGTTACTGGGTTAGAGTAAACCATATTTTCAATGAAACCCCACATAAAATAATCTGTTGAATCCATCTGTCTTCGACGATTTCAGTTGAGCACGTTTACTGAACAAGAATTATTGGGTGAAGCACCATCCATTTGGTACCATACACGTTCTCTTCATGGCCTAGTATTTGGAATAATTTGAACTCCGTTTCTCAATAAATCTTCATGTTTTGTTGCATTCAAGTATCAACATAGAACTTGAAATAATAAAATACTACGAGGCAAAACAATCTTTTACACGTTTGTTAAAAAGTCTCGAAAACATTTTATATCTTCTAAACGGCAACATATAGTTAAAGGTAAATAAGTATATGAAGTTGTTGACAAAGTGATAGGAAATCATGATACGATATTTTATACAGGGTATTCCATTCGAAAAATCAAAGTAGCCGCTACTCTATATAGTAGAAGCAGCAACACCGTCTAAAATATTTCAAGCGTGAAGATCATTTCAATGTATGCATATTGAAAAATATTCAGGTTGATCAGTTGTCTGGTTTGCCAGAAAAGTCTAATTAACGCTCATCGTGATGGGCCATGTACATTTCAGAGTTTCCCTCTGAACATTTCCTACTCTAATCTCACGTTGACAACTTTTGAACATTTCACGTGTTTCGTAGCTGAAAGATTTCTCTGCGAAATGATGAACTTTGTCAGTATCAAGTATTCAAAGGGCCATTCGAAAATGCATACTGAATAGTTACGATTTAGTAAAAGTTCGAAACCGGGAATCAAATTAAACAGCGCCAAACTGAAGCTGAACTGAATTCATAAGCAGTTTTCGAATCGTTTCGCTACTTCCCTGCTTTAAAACAAGTTAATTTTCTCTATTTCCACACGACCATATTTTGTTTTTGAAATACAACTACAACTGAAGCATTTTTCCTGCTCCTCGAAGGAATCGAAATTATTCAGCTTTTTGAATATACAGTGTCACACATAAAGTTCGCGACATATGAAAAGTTTTTTTATTGACAGATAATTAGTTATTCTTGGTGACTTCAATGGTCAGATTCAAATACAGATTCAAATACAAATCTCCACGAGTTGATTCATCTTACTTCTTCATTTGGTTTAGAACCGACTATTTCTGAATTCACAAGAGTAACCGCTAGGAACAAGTCTAGCTGCCTGGACAATATTTTTACGAATATCAACAAAGATAACTACGTGGTCGGAACTGTCGAGCCCGTTTTAGGAATCACACGTTAAAAGGTAAGACCTCGTTAATTCTTAGCTCGCATAAGTTTCGACTTCTGAGGGTGGTCGTTCGTAGGGGTGCGACAGTTGGTTAACGGAAAAAAACAGATTTTCTTTATGTCTCTCAGATCCAAATGGTCAAGTTATCATCCTAAAAAATGATGTCATTCCAACAAATCCAGAAGTGAGTAGGAGGTTTATCACAAATGCAAGAGTTGAGCGTTTCAGGCATACTTCAATATAATTCAAATGGAATCAAACTATCAGCGAGATTCAAACAAATGCCGCGGACATAAACCAACTCGCCGAATATATAACTTATTCCTTGAGTTTCTTGATCCAAGATCAATTTCCAATGACAAAATTACATTCACTAAATAAGCCACCAGTGCAATGGTATAATGAAAGACTAAAGTAATAAGTGATGT